CAGAAAGGAGGTCTGTGGCATTGCCAACAATTTAACCTGGATCTCCTGAGTAGTACATCAGAATCTTAGCCATGAGTCTGTCCTTCCTCTCAAAAAAAACAGGATTTTTTTTTCTCTTTTCTCTTTCAGCTATGGTAACCTTAGAGGTTATTTGCAACAATAGCAGGTTTAAAAAAAAAAGTTCAGGCAGATGTGTTGATATTTTTTTCTAAGTTGATGGTATCCTTTTAAGCAAATGAAATAGAAATACATGAGAGTGTAAGTGATGCTATTATTACTGCTAACGATGCCTGGAAATGTGATATCAAGGGAGATTAATCCGTTACTCAAGAGAAAGGGGGAAAAAAAAATACTGAAGAAGAAATTGAACTTAGGCTCCCGTGCATGTATTTTGGAGTTTCCTGCTAATCAACATGAATCAATCAAAACTGGAAAGACAATTAAAGTAAACATGTCAAAGATAAAGACAGGCCAAACTAATAATCACAAAGGAAAACAGATCCATTTTGTCAAGGAGGGGAAGTTCTTGCTCAATCCACGTCTGTTTCTGGGAACAATCACGCTGAAAGCTTCTTACTGAAGCAAAACATAGAATTGCAAAATGACTCACTCGGTATTGCCAATCCCTTGTGTTCAAAAATCCTGTGTAGGACCAAAAAATGTCATGAGATGTAAAAACCAGGATAAACCACATTCTGTTTTTGCCCACTGTCTGGTTTGAAATTTTAAGCAAGCCCTGTCTCTCCAATTTGTGTACTATGTTTAGTTGAAAAGTCAACCATAAGTGTGCAAACACAAATGCAGACATCCCCGGGCTCCACTTCCAGGGTATGTCTACACTGCAGCCAGGGGATGTGATTTCCAGCTTGTGGAGACCATCTTACACATGACAATGCATTAGCTCAAATCACAGCTAAAAATAATGTAGCTGCAGTGGCTCAGACTGACTGAGTACAATCTTGTCCAAGGGGAGGTCTACACTAGAAGCACTACATCAGCGGAGCTGAACCGATGCAGCTGTACTGCTGTAGCACATCTGGTGAAGACGCTCAATGCTGACAGGAGAGCGCTCTCCCGTCAGCATGATTACTCCACCTCTGCAAGAGGCGGTGTGGACAGTGCTTAGGTTGCTGTAACTTGCGTCGCTCAGGGAGGTGTCTTTTTAACACCCCTGAGTGACATAACTTAGATTGATGTAAGTGGTAATGTAGACTTGCCTCAAGATCCTAGGCATGTACTCAGGTGGCTAGCCTGAGCCATTGTGGCTACACTGCTCTTTTTAGCACGCTGGTTCAATCAAAGCTAGCACATGTAAATCTACATAAGCTGGAAATTACACCTCCCAGCTGCAGTGTAGACATACCCACAGTCACCAAACTCCTGAGATGTAGGAGCCATCACTGTCTCTCTCCTTATGCATTTGTGTGAGTAAAATGTTCATGGAAACTGAATATGGAAGGGGCACAGGCTTGACCAGCACAAATTTAAGTGAAATACTCATGGACATCTGTTTGGGTTATTGTCCCAGTTCTAATATTTGCATTTTTATAGGCATCACCTTTGATATTTTTTAAAGGTGTAAAGTAACACCTTTCAGTAGAAGGTGTGGGTACAAATGGAGGAGTTGATATTTCAAGATCTACAGCTGTAAGGAAAATCTGTAGAGAGAAAATTCATGCTTGCTGAAGAACATGACTGAGAGATAATGGATTACTTAAGCTTGAGATGAGTAAACAAGATGCACTGATGTGATAAAGCATGTCATAAGAACCACAGGGAAGAATGCATCTCCCTGACCCCACCCGGGAAATATTCTAGTTTCTTAAATTTGGGACTGGCTGATACCAGACTGCGAAGACCATGGCGTTGGCCCTGCCCAGGAGCGCAATGTTGTCACTTCCCACTAAACATCATGGGAGCAGGGGTATTCAGACCTGAAAGGATAAATGTAAACCATTGTTGGTGTGACATGGGAAATGCTACCTATTAACAAGGAGGGAACCACATCCAAGATGTGTGAACAAGCTGTTGGCATTGAGGTGAGGCACTTACTTTTTATTTTTGTTGACTATTATCCAATTTAAAAAAAAAATCATTGGCAGGAAGTTAGAGAACTGTTGTTTAACCAGGAAATTTCTTTGTGAACATTCCACTAAGCAACTGAAAGAAAGGAGGGGAAGGCACAAAGACACAAATCTCAGCTATCCTATAAGAAGAGGGTTAGCGGGCTAGTTCCACAAGGCATAAAAGCAGGACAGTCCCTGTGAAGCTTTGTATTCTTTTATATTGATTTACCATGACTTCCCTGCCAGGCTATTCCTGCACACATGACTTGAGCTGGGGAAGTTTAACAAGGGTAGGGAAGCTTGGGTCTCTGGCTACTTTCAATTCTATGATCAAAAGATATTTAAAACCACTTCAAAAAAAGGAAAGGCAGCTCAGAGGGGGAAAAAGCAAGGATTCATCACTGGGAACCAAGGGGGCACCGCATCTCCATTATCCTTGCTGGAACAGCCACAACATATTCTGCTGTTACTTCCAAGGGACAGGCATTTGGGACCTTGGACTTCTCTGATAGATGGGAACTGACTTGACGAAGGAAGTATCACATTAAGAGGGTGGAAGGGGCGTTCACCATCGTTTGTTCTAAAATTCTGAGAAGATCTACAGTAGTTCATATATGCTGGTAACAAGGAAAGGAACTTTTTTACACCGTGGGAGTAATAATTCACCTGCTTACATAAACCTAAGCTGTTTGTTTTAAATGGGAAAAATTCTAAAATGAGTTTGATGCTCTAAGACAGAGTGAAGATGTACCAGAGAAAATAATCTTGCAGATGAGAAAATCATTCTTTTAAGTAAAAACAACAAGGAGGCCGAAGAAGTGAGTTTTTTTTACCCACGAAAGCTTATGCCCAAATAAATCTGTTAGTCTTTAAGGTGCCACTGGACTCCTTGTTGTTTTTCTGGCTACAGACTAACACGGCTACCTCCTGATACTATTCTTTTAAGTGGCACTAAAAACCAAAATTCAAAAGACTGGACAAAACTGAATTGAGATCTGCAGTTTATCAACATCAGTTGTCACTCCTCTCTGTCACAGGATGTTTTATTGGACTAAACTACTTAAACACATACATTTTTTCCCTCATCCACTTCCACAAGTAGCTCCTACTATGTTTTTTTTTTTAAAGCCATCAAAATTACATTAAATATTTCATAACTAATGTCGTCTTTAGTATTGTATGCGGAGTGCAGTTGGTTTACTTGTGGTACAGTCAGCTGTATACTCCATTGTGGGAAAAGCAGAGAGGGGTGAAACCTTTTATCTTACCATGCAGTATAATGTAGACTTTGAAACAGAAAATAATGGGGATATTTCCTAATTTTTTTCTCTTTCAATTATGGAGCTCAGCCACAGGCAGTTCATGACTTCTTCTGCTTTGTGTGTTGTGTGTGTATCTTTCTGCTGGTTGTTTGACACAAACCCCCCAATCTTCAGAAAACTGGTATATTTAAGTAGGAACACACACACACTCTCTCTCATTGTGGACATAAGGGGGAGTTGGTACCTTGCATTGTTTTTGAGCTGCTGTAAACAAAGATCAGAGATGAGATCTAGGGCCTAGATCCTCAAAGGTAATAGTAAACTAAACTTCCGTTGAGTCAATGGGAGTTAGGCTCTAGTCTTCAAGGGTATTTAGGCACCTAAGTCCATATTCCCTGTGGTTTGCACAGGAGATCCTTTCTCCGACTGGTCACTGGATGTTAGTCACTTAGCACAAATTGGGTTTACCATCCATTTATCTGAGAGTAAACATTTGATTCAAAGCAAGAACCATGGAAGCAGCAGTTTCAAGATTAATTGACTCTTACTAGTAGAAGCCTAAGTTGCCTGTACTCCCCATCACTCAAATAACACTTAAGGGGATGATGCTTACTAGAGAATGGAGGCTTCCAAGAAGGTGTGGCAGCCTTTGCAAAATGCAGTGTTGGGGAAGGGAGAAAGGGGATAGAGAATAGAGGGGATGAGAAAGCAAGGAATCGAAAATCTAGAGAAGACAAGTCTGGGAGTGGATAAGAACCAGGCAGTAGAAGAAGAGAAAAGTGAGGAAGGTGGATGACTAAAAGAGGAAGAAAGAGAGGCAAATCCTATTATCATTCATTTGGGAAAAGGATAAACTGAAACCCTGATGAAAATGGGACTTGCCTCCACTCATGCAGGAAGTCAGTGGCAGAGTAAAATACCACCATTGGCTCAAACTCCCAGTCCCCTGCTCTGCATATTTGCATTCATTGCTGTTCAGGCAGTTCCAAAGAAAGCATCAGCTGATTTCATTCACCACCTAAGAGAAAGACATTGCTTGCTTTCTAGGTGGTGATCAGAATTTGCCTGGTGTAATATCTCCTAATCATAAAACTTCCAGGATATTTACTTCACGCTGAGTAAATATGCTTTTCTAAAGTATAGCCTGAGATTGTAAACAAGCCTTAACAAAGAAGAAATCTTAAAAATTTTCCCTTAAGACACCCAAACTGTAAATACAATTAAAAAAAACAAACGCCACCACACCATTTTCATGATTAAGGTGAACATTTTACTTTCACAAAAGTTCAGGACATTCAAATCAGTATTTTTGCTGTGAATACCAAATTCAGAACCTTGAATCTGAAATTTCAATATTTTTGTGTAATTAAAAATTTCATCTTAACATTCCATTAATGTTGTCCCTGACCCTTATATAATTTTGAGAGATGGAGTCCAAGTCACGAAATTTTGATCCAAATTTCTCCAAAGTTTAACTCAACTCAATAGGCAGTAGAGTTGAGTTAAGTTATAAAGTTCAGGTGTGAATCAAGAGGTGAATTTCTGCAGAATTCAGATCTAGAGGTTCAGTTTGGGTGCATCCCTAGTAAAGATGAAAAGTATATCTGTGTAAGTGTGTCCTCTCCTGAGTAATAACAAAGGGAAAACTGGAAAAAACACAATGGGTACTTACCAGTTGTAAGAGAAAGATGCAGCCAGTAAGTGCTGACCTTCTGTTACACATATTTCCATCTGCAGATGCCCTACACCTGTGGGTATAGAGAAGGAAATTACTATTAATTATTACTAGCCTCACTAAGGATCAGGGTTCCCTTTTGTGCTAGGCACTGTCCAAACACATGGAATTTCCACTCTGAATATTTTACAATAAAAGACTTACTAATCTAAATGTGTCTAACTGCTGATACAACACATGCCATCTTACCCTCACAGGCCAAAGGAAATGAAGCTTTGGGTTTCAGCGTGTTTATAGGGGCAAAAAAGATGTGTGCCATGCTCTTGGCTCTACTGCCTTAAGCCTCTTAAATGCCCTCTCTCCTTCCTACTGGGAGACGATCACTGAATTAAGCACTTTAAGGAGTTCCCTCAAATCTCTCATTTTAATGTGCCTATTTCATGAAGCGCTTGGAAATCTCTAGTACAGTGGTTCTCAGCCAGGAGTACATGTACCCCTGGGGGTACTCGGAGGTTTTCCAGGGGGTACTCAGCTCACCTAGATATTTCCCTAGTTTTACAACAGGTTACATAAAAAGCACTAGCCAAGTCAGTACAAACTAACATTTCACAGACAAGGATTTGTTTATACTGCTCTA